TCCTTTTTATTGTGAAGTAGTATTCCATTACACAGATGTAGCAGTTTATTCATTTACTAGTTGAAAGACATTTAGGTCATTTCCTAAATAAGAGTGTAAAGTGGTCCCAGAGCTCTCCTCGATTTGGGATTTTGTGGACCAGTGCAATTAAAAAAATTTTTTTAATGAGGGGGAATCAACATATGTTTGTCAAACTTTTAATTCTGTACTGTAATTAAGGGCATTGGAAAATACTACCACCTCTTATTTCACAAAAGAAACCTTAATACCAACTATTCAAAGAATAAGTTTGAAATTACAAATAGTCTTTTAAATTGAATAAGCTTTAAATAATATACAAATCTTGTTACATTGGCCTTAGTTTCATCCTATTGCTGATCCTCCACCACTAGCTTCCTTTCTTCTTAAGTCTGTGCGTTAGTGCTTAGAAAGCACTTGCTCAACATTTCTCCTCCTAGATCTGTGTATCCACTGCCTCTCAAACCATCTACTGTTTCCCTTCTTACCACAATCTCTTCTCAATCTGATTCTATCAATTCAATGGTGCACCTACTATAAACTAGACTAGAATAGTGATGAAAATAACAATTGAAAGCCAAACCCAATCTGCACAACAAACCCCCATGACACATGTTTACCTGTATAACAAACCTGCACATATACCCCTGGACCTAAGATAAAAATTAAATTAAGAAAATAAAAAATAAAAAGAAAGCCAAACCCTCCTATGTAGGAGCAGCAACAACAAATACAACCTAAGGCAATTGATGGGGGGAAACAAGATGCTGTAGCAGCACAGAGGAGGGACATCCAACTAAGAGGCCCCAGGAATCAGAGAAATAACACCTAAGCTGAGCCTTAAAGAATAAGGAGTTTTCCAGACAAAACCATCTGAAGGTGGGGTAGGGTCAGGGTCCAGAAAGAGTTCCAGGCAGAAGGAACGGGGCTTGTAAAGGCCTAAAGGGGAGGCAGACCATGGTAGGCTTGAGAAATTGAAAGGAAGCCAGTTGGGAGAGTAGGGAGTGAGGAGAGTAGTGTGAAACCAGTTTGGAGAGCTAGGTAGGGGCTAAATCATACTACTATGTACAGAATGGACTGCAGAAAGCCAAAAGGAGAAGTAGGAAAATCAGAAGGGTATTGCTGCATCCTGGTGAGAGATGATGCTAAGGGGAGTGGAAGTGGAAACCAGCAGATGGACCAAACAGCTAAATTTTGGAGGTAGAATGGGAAAGACTTACAGTTCAGATGCAATGAGGGTCGGAAAGAAAATAATGGAATTAAGGCTAACTCTGAGGTTTCTGGCTTAAACAGTTGGCTTTTTCAAAGAGTGAAGACTAAGGGAGGACTGGTTTCAGTTCAAAGGGAAATCAAGGATACAATTTTGGGCATAGTGGCTCAACCTATAATCCCAGCGTTTTGTGGGGCTGAAGCAGAAGGATGACTTGAGCCCAGGAGTCTGAGACTAGCCTGTGCAATATAGTGAGACGCCATCTCTACAAATATATATATATATGATTATCTATATAAATATGATTATATATGATTATATAAATATGATTATCTATATAAATGTGACTATATAAATATTATTATCTATATAAATGTGATCATATATATATATATATATATATATTATATATATATATATAAAAATTAGCTGGGCATGGTGGCACATGCTTGTAGTCTCAGCTAATTGAAGGTTGAGGCAGGAGGATTGCTTCAGTCCAGGAGTTCAAGGTTACTGTGAGCTGTGATCATGCCACTGCATTCCAATCTAGGCAACAGAGCAAGACCCTGGACATGTTGCATTTGAGACACCTTTCAGCTATCCAAATGGAGATGCCAGTATATAGATGTATGAAGCTCAGATGAGTCTGGGCTGAAAATTATGATTTGGAAGTTGTCAGATGATTGAGGATAACTGAAACAACAGAGGATAAATGAGACTTCCCAGAGTCAGAATGCAGAGTGAGGAACAAGGACTTAGTTCAGGCTCCTGAGAAGACCCCATATGTAAGGGTCTGGCAGAGGTGGGGGAACAAATGAAGAAGTACCCAGAAAGATAAGAGGGAAACCAGGGGAGTGTTGTTATCACACAGGCCAAGAGGAGAAAACATTTCAAGAAGAACCAGATTATCAAGGGCATTGAATGTTGCATAGAGGTCATGGACATTAATTAAAAAGTGGCCATTGGATTTGGTGACATGTGGTCATTGGTAACTGTGACAAGAACTTCTATTGGTGGAATAGTGAGGGTGAAATGTCTCTAAGCTCCTTCTCCCAGAGTCCTCCCATTCCGGCACCCTCTTCCTTAGAATCTCTCTTATTTCTCCTTCTAGATTCCTCTTTTCATAGCACCATATCCTCCCTCTCCTTCAAGACCTTGCTTTCTACAGAACTCTCTTAGATTTTCTTCCTCAAAGACCCCTTTTCTCTCTCTCGAACCCACCTCTTCCCATACTCTTATTTCCCCCCCTTTGTTCTCTCCCCACTCACTTGTCTCCTGAACTAAATGCTGCTTTTCTTTCCTGTTCTTTCAGCCCCCTCTCCATTACCGCACTCATCTAAGCTCTTTGGATCTCAGCAGGGGTCTTGGCAGAAGGATTGCTAAAGAACCTTCCAGGCTCAATACTAAGGAGTCATAATCTTTGGCATGATTCCACCAGGATCTGACAATGCCGACCTGAAGGAAACACAGTGTTAGAACCCAGTTCTTGAATGATTGCCAATCTGGAAACCACATCCTGCCAACACAGTCTCCTCATCCGCCCTGGCACCTGCCCCTAAGATTCTGCCTTTTCCTATTCTCAATTGTACAGTCACTATGAACCGATAAGGTGCCCCTCTACTACAAATTCTAATATTCTGCATTCAATCAGCATTTTCTACTTGTCAAAATGCATTTACATTCATTCACCCAGCCTTGGGAATTCGGCTGGGTGAAGCCTGGAAAAAGAAAATGGAGAGACTTGCCTGAGGTCACATAGTTGGTTAGAGGATTAGCCTGGTATCCCTCCCACCCCTTCAGCCTTGCTTGTTTTCATGCTCAAAGACTCCCCAGGCCTGAGCTCAGGCATGGCTGCCCTTTTACCCTGTCCCAGCCTGCCAAGAGAGAGCACCCTGGAGAGGCCCTTGCTCAGGAACACTGCCAGGGGATCAGTGCCCCATTTGTACCTGCAAGATAGGGATGGGCCACCTTGGGAAGGAGGACAAATTTTGGTTTGCTTCACTGAGATCACCATAGGCAACAAATCCAACTGTTTGCTTTGATGACGACTTGAAAAAGAGAGTCAAGCATAATGATTACAAGGCAAGCTCTAGAGGTGGCCACGTTTGGTATCCAGGCCTTGCTCTGCTCTGTACTAGCTCAGTGAGACTATGGATAGGAAACGCCTCAGCACAGTGCCTGGTACCTAAAAAGTGTTCAATGAACAGTGGCCACTAACCTTATCATTCATACATGGGAATCCTTGGGAGGGAGTTAGCGTGGTAGACTGCAAACTTTGCCAAGTTAGACATCTGCAGACCTAGATTCCAGGTCTAACTATTACTGTTCAACTTGGAATGTTGGACAACTCTTTTCGTCTCATTGGGCCTAGGTTACTAGGAAATAGTAATGGCCGTCCTACTTTGTAATATGTTGTATTGATCTTTAATGCATGCACACTCTTTCACCTAGCAATTCTATTCCTAAGACTTTGTCAGTATTATGCGCAAAGATGCTAAGTTATAGTAGTCAAAAATGAAAGTAACAAAATGCCTAGTAGTTAATGATTAAATAAATCATATTTTATATGATAGAATGCAGTGCAGCCATGACAGAATGATGTAGTTCTGTGTTTTAATTGACATGGAAATAGGCTCATGATACATTATTTACAAATGATGGAAGGTTACATAAATTGTAGGTGTAATGTGATTCAATTTTATAAAACAAATCCTATTAATATCTTCTACAATACATAAAAATGTTAGCAATGATTATGTCTGGCTAGTGGCATGAGGACCTCTATTTTCTTCTTTATAGTTCATTGTCTGAATTCCTTTCAATAGCATCTAGTATTTTTCTATTTAGAAAAAAAAAGAAAGCTTTTTTTTTTTTTTTTTTGCTTTGGGAGAGGAAACCCAGTCACTGCACTCTACTCCACAGCACATTTTGTTTTTGTTGTTTTTTGTTTGTTTTTTGAGACGGAGTCTCACTCTGTCACTCAGGCTGGGGCATGCAGTGGCACGATCTTGGCTCACTGCAACCTCCGAGTCCCAGCTTCAAGCAATTATCCTGCCTCAGCCTCCTGAGTAGCTGGCACTACAGGTGTGCACCACCACGCCCAGCTAATTTTTGTATTTTTAGTAGAGAAAGGGCTTCACCGTGTTGGCCAGGCTGTTCTCGAACTCCTAACCTCAGATGATCCACCCACCTCAGTCTCCCAAACTGCTGGGATTACAGGAGTAAGCCACTGCACCTGGCCTCCACAGCACTTTTGAGGGGCTTAAATGGCATATTGCATGGCACTGCCAAGTGCTGTTAAAAGGGGAGCCCTGCCCTTATGCTGGCCTCCTCAGTTCTACCTTGGGGGACCTGCTGTTTGAACTCAAAGTCTGAACCTACAGTACCCATGTTTGACCTTGAGCCTTGGGATCAACCTGAGGGGTGGGGTAGGGCTGAGGACTTGCCAGAGAATCAAGCTGAGTAGCAAAGTCTGTGGGGCTGCAGGCCCCGCAGGGCTGCTTGGGCACTGGCTCACCAGGGCTGTGTTTATGCGGCTTACTCCCTGCTGGGCTTCAGGGCTGCTAGCCAGGGACACCTAATTGGAAAGACAGAGCCCCCTCCTCTCACCACCCTCAAAGCTGGAATGTTCTGAATTCCTCCTTGGGCCAAATCCCCCTCCCCACAAGGCCTCTCCTGGGTTCACAGAGGTCACCACACAAAAGCCCAGCTGGAGTGGAGTTTTTGACAGGAAAAAAAATACACACAAAACCCACCAAACCTTTTTTTTTTTAAAGTACCTCAATCTTTCCCAGCCTCCAGGGGTTTAATTCTGATCTGTAATAAGTCTCTGACCCACAGCTCAGATTTGCAGAAGGATTTTGCAAAGCTGTGGTTAATGATTAGAAATCCTTTATCACCTCAGCCCGTGGTCCTTTGCACTTCGCTCCCCTCCCTCAGGATCCCTTTCTCCCTCTCCAGGGGCATCGCCCCCTCCAAGGCTCTGCAAAGAACTGCCCTGTAAGTATCTCCATCCTGATATAGTTGCTGCCTTTTAAATTCACTAAGGTGGGCACTCTTCCTTCCTAGTCACTATCCATTCACCCCATGGTGGAGTCAGGCTGGGCCACCTTGCGTTTCTGAGTGAAGGGTATGGGAGGTGAAATTCCGGTGGCATTGGGGTGATTGTATTTGTTTCCTCAAAGCTATCACAAAGGTTCTAGTCTTCAAAACTTGAGGACCAGGGCAAGCACTCTCCAAATCAGATATTTTCTGGTTTGGAGGGGTTAAAAGGACTGGGATAAAAATTGGAGGGAGGGAGCCACAGTTTACCTCTCTGCCTAAGTGTAGGGGGCTGAGGAGGGGCACTCCCTTACAGCCAGCTCCAGTGCCCTCCTTGGCACGAAGACTTAGGGGGGTAACAGAAGGTGGGTTCCTGAGTGAGATCATAGAGTTTCCCCATGAAGCCTTTCAATGACTCTCCCCAACTCATCTGCAAGTCTGTCATTAAAAATTCCTTCTTTGGACTGAGGCATTACTCTCTTTACCCCTCTTTGAAAATGAAGTTGGAACCAAAACATTCACAGCACTTCTGGCTAGGGAGATCATAGGTTATTTTTGTTTTCTAAATTCTGCCTTTCTGTGTTTTCCAGTGTTCTAAAGTGAGAATGCTTTTCTTTGATGATCAGGAGAAAAATGAACTTCTTTTTCAAACAATTTAGAAAATCTCTCAATCCAGATGCAATTCTCTCAACTGCTAACAATCAATTGATGCAGAAGGAAAGATGAACTGCTCTAAGGACAAACTTTCGAGAAAGTAGGGCCTCAAGAGAATGGCTTTGCCACCTACTAGTGCCCTTGGCAGCTGGGAGTGAGGTTAAGAGAAGGGGGCAAGTGTCTCAGATTCTTATGAGGGGCAGTGAGATCAAGGGATGGAGAAATGAGGCTGACTGACAGAAAAGGGCTGTGGTGGTCACCATCACCCCCAGAAGGCCACATCAGTTCCCTCCTTGAGCCTGGGAGCCCCTAGTGTCCTGTGCCGTGTAGTCTTAGGAGGGTACCGCCAAGAAAGAGTACCATGCACAAGACTCTTGGAGCAAGAGATGGGGAGAATAGCAGGGAAAGTACCCAGGTGAGAAGGGGTTAAGTCAGGAGCTGTGGTCAGTCTTGACCCTCCTAATCCTCTCCTGCAGCTCCAATCTCCCCACTAGGGAAGATTAGGTAAGGATCCTAAGTGAAATTTTCTTGCCCAGTCCTTGGGCCATGGAGTATGTTGGCCACATGCCCAGAGGACAAATTCAATTGGCAAGGCCTGGAGTTCTCTGTACCTCCAGAGCAGCCGGCATTTGGCTTCTAGGAGAATCCCTCAAAGAGAGGTTTCCATTAAAGCTGCCTGCTTCTAATAACAGCTCTTCAGTCTTCCATATTTGTCAAAGTAGCTTCCTGTCCCCATGGCGTTATTTGAGACTCAAAATCTTGGAGATGGCAAACTAGGGCCTAGATAAGCTATGGAACTTCCTCAACAGGTTCCAGGACTGACACAAGAAGAAGCTAGATCTTTTGATTCTAACTCTAGGACCCTTTAAACCATGTCTGCCTTCACCTCTACTGCTCATCAGACAAACACAAACCTGGCTGAATCCAGCCTGACTCACCACCCAACCACTTGCCATTTAACTGGTCTTCCTAACCCTGGCAGAAAGCTGAACCACCCCCCACCCTCCGCCATGGGGCCATTTCTAACACTTGAATAAGCTCCAATAATTTGTTCTTCATCCTATTCGGCTATGCTGCTATGCCAAGTCAGACTCTAGAGATTCCAAGCCTCAATAATGGCATTTTCTTGACTCTTCCTTCTCCCTCATCCCAAAATACTTGCCTACTTACTACTACTTATGACAGGCTCTGGGTAGAGGCTTTCCTCTTGGGGACACTGTTGATTTCCTTGGGAAACTCAAGCTTGGCTCTTCTGCTGCCATCCCAGGAAGGCTGAAGCAGGAGCTGCTCCTCTGCCAAGCAGTAGGTCTTCCCCTTGAAAACCTCAAGATATCTCACCAACTCTCACTAAAATCTCAGATACAAACAGGCAGAAGAAAGGAAAAGTATTGAACCCAGCCTGGCTAAGCAGCAGGGATGGCCCAAAGACGGTTTCAAGGCAAGGATGAATCCTGAAGGATGACTTGCAATTATCCAAGCAAATGGTGGATGGTAGAAATGCATGCTTAAGGGCTTGGAGACAGACAGAAAGGCAAAGTCAGAAAAATTCAAGTGCTTAGGTTTGGCTGGATCATATGTGTATGTATAGGAGCATAAAGCATGAGGTTGAAGGTTAATGGTGTGAGATGAGGCTGTGAAGAAAAGCAGGGGTGAAATAATGGAGGGCTTTCTTTGTTTCCTGGGCTAGCAAAGTTTGAACTGCATTCTGAAACACTTAAGAGCACCTGAAGATTTTTAAGCTTGGCAAAGGGTGACAAGACAGGCACAGTTTGATTTCAACTTTACAAAGATCTTTGACTACTGGATGGGTAACTCATTATTGCTGGATTGGGGTAGAAGTGTAATTAGAAAGACCAATTTGAGGTGTCTATGAGATTTCCTAATGAACAAGAAATGATGGTTGCATAATTTGAACTATGGTTTGGGCAGTGGCTACAGAAAGAAGTAGATGGAATCATGATCTATTTTTGAAGGCAGACCTGATGGTACATTATTATTAATTTTATGTCGACAAGAGGTGAAAAGCAAGGATGACTGGCTTGCATTATTAACTTTGGGGTGATGGCCCCACTGAGGTAAGAAACACTCCATGAGGAGCATTTTAAGGATGGGGAGAGAAAAAGGGAAGATGATTCCAGCTTTGCAGATGTTGAATTTGAGGCCATTAAAACATTCAGGTAGGGCAAATCCAAGTACTGTTAACCACACAAATCTTGAGTTCAGGATAGAACTCTGTGGCAGAGGTATAAATTCAAGAGTCACTGATAGGAGACAGAGTGTATGAGATCACCCATGGAGAATGCAAAGAATAGGAAGAGCCATCTACAAGTCTAGATGAAACCCTGAGGGGGCTAGAGGGACAGAGATGGATAGTTAGACTTTAAGAGTGAGCAGAAGAAGAGGAACTTACAAAGGAAAACTAGAAGAATCATTTTGAGAAGTAGGTAAAATGGAGTGGTGCTACAGAAAACAAGGGAGAAGATAGTTTTATGAAGGAGAGAGACAAGGTGAAATGACAGAGATATGATCACTGAATTTTGGAACAAGAAAAGAGCTGACAGCTTTGGTGAGAATATTTTCAGTGGAGGGCTAATGGCAGAAGCCAGACTGCAGAGGGCAGAGGAGTGAGTGGGAGGGTGAAGAAATGGAGGCATCAATAATGAATGGCTTAAGGATCTTGGCTGCAAAGAGAATGATCAAGATAGAAGTAATAACTGCACAAGGAGGAGGTAGGGTAGGGAGCTCAAAAAGTAGAAGTAAATATTTGAAGTAGTCATCAGGAGGGTGTTTACCAGGAGAAGCAGAGGATTTCCAAGCAGCATTGAAGGGCTCAATGAGATGCACAGTCATGATCAGGACAGGTACAATTGTGCCAGGGTCAGCAATAAGAAAGCCAATGACAAAAATGACTTGCTTTCTTGAAACCGCAGATGAGTGACAAAGGTGAGATTCAAACTATGTCTCCCTCTCGACTCATCATTTATCAGCTCTTACTCTGCATTGCTTTGCATGAACACTGGCATTGGTGTTTCCAATGCTGATTAATCGTGCTGACTATCAATCATGTGTCCAATGCTGTGGAAGCATGATAGGCATTTAATATATATTTTTTCACTCTCAAATTGTTTAGAATTTGGTTGAAGAGACAAAATATTCCACAAATGCATATATATATATATATATATATATATATATATATATATAATATATACATTATATATAATGTGAATATATAGAAGTTATACAGAAATAGCTTCACTATATATATATAATGAAAGACATAAAGACAGTGAAGCTCTGCTCTCTGTCTTTCTCTCTCCCTTTGCCTCTTTCTTCATCTGATCCCCCATCCCTCTCTCAATCGTCTTTTCCAACATTGGGCAGCACTTCAATGACCCTTACACTGAGGCGTTATTGACTCATTTGGAAAGTCCCCATATTGTAGCCATATGGAGCCTCTCAAACCTCTTTACCGACTTCATTCATTTATTCAGAAGATAGCTTTTGGGCTGGATGTGGTGGTTCATGCCTGTAGTCCCATCACTTAGGGAGGCCGAGGTGGGCAGACCATGAGGTCAGGAGATCAAGACCATCCTGGCTAACACAGTGAAACCCTGTTTCTACTAAAAATGCAAAAAAAATTAGCCAAGCATGGTGACACACGCCTAACAAAAGTTAGCCAGGCATGGTGGTGAATGCCTGTAATCCCAGCTACTCAGGAGACTGAAGCAGGAGAATCACTTGAACCCATGAGGCAGAGGTTGCCATGCCACTGCACTCCAGCCTGGGTGACGGAGTGAGATTCCATTGAAGAAGAAGAAGAAAGAAAAAAGAAGAAGGAGAAGGAGAGACGGAGGGAGGAAGGGAGGGAAGGAAGGAAGGAAGGAAGGAAGGAAGGAAGGAAGNCATCTCCCAGCGGCCTCCGCGGCCAAGGAGGCGGGGGCGAGAGGGAGGATTGAGGGGGAGGAGGTAGGAAAAGGGAGGAGAGACGGAGGGAGGAAGGGAGGGAAGGAAGGAAGGAAGGAAGGAAGGAAGGAAGGAAGGAAGGAAGGAAGGAAGGAAGGAAGGAAGGAAGGAAGGAAGGAAGAAAGAAAGAAGAAGGAAGAAGGAAGAAGGAAGAAGGAAGAAGGAAGGAGGAAGGAGGAAGGAGGAAGGAGGAAGGAGGAAGAAGGAAGAAGGAAGAAGGAGAAGAAGAAGAGGAAGAAGAAGAAAATTTTTGAATTGCTGCTCTGGGTAAAGCAGTATGTAAAGCACATGAGATACAGAGATAAATAAGATGCAGTCTTGCACTCAAGTAGCTCACAGGCTAATAGGGAAGGATAGGGTTTAAACAGGAAATTGCAACATAATGCAAAATGTACTATTTTGCCTCAGTTTCTTCATCTGTACAATAAGGATTATTAGTGCCTACCATTAAAAAAAAAACAAACTTGTGATGATTAAGTAAGTTAGCATGTATAAAGTGCTTATAATGGTTCCATAAGAAACACTACACATGTGTTGCCATTATTATTATTATTATTATTATTATTATTACTATGATGGAAGTAAACACAAGATACTGTAAGAATAGACAGGAGGGTTACCTGACCCAAGCTACAGTAAGAGACATCTGTGCTGAATCCTGAAAGATGAGAAGGCACTAAACAAAGGAAGAAGAATACGTGGAACTCTGCGTGGAACATTCTGTTCTATTTCTATTTGGGAGCAAAAGACCACATGGCATGATTGAAGAACTAGAAGTAATTTAGTTCCACAACAGTATAGACTATGAGGATAGAAATGGCAAGAGATGAAGCTTGAGAGGTCATGGAATACAAGCAAGTTTGGACTTCACCCTTTAGAAATAGGGAGCCGCTGGAATGTTTTATGTAGAATAGTGACTTGATCAGATTAATGTATTGAAAGATCACCTTGGCAATGATGTGGAGAATGAATTGGGAGAAAGACCATTTACAAAGCTGTTGTTATAGTCCAGGTGAAAGAGAATGATGAGGCCAAGCACAGTGGCTCACTCCTGTAATCCCAGCACTTTGGGAGGCCAAAGCAGGCAGATCACTTGTGGTCAGGAGTTTGAGATCAGCCTGGCCAAACATGGTGAAACCCTGTCTCTACTAAAAATACAGAATTAGCTGGATATGGTGGCGCATGCTTGTGGCTCCAGCTACTCAGGAGGCTGAAGTACGAGAATTGCTTGAGCCTGGGAGG